GAGCCCAGGAGTTTGAGGTTGCTGTGAGCCAGGCTGACGCCACGGCACTCACCCCAGGCAAGAGAATGAGACTCTGTCTCAAAAAAAAAAAAAACACGCACAAAACAGTAAAAGCTAAATTGCTATAACAAAAAGACCTAAAAATATAAGGGCTCAAATAAGATAAAAGCTCTGTTCCATGTGGTCATCCAGGGACCCAGGCTCCTTTTCTTTTATTTCTCCACCATCTCATAGGGCAGGATTTCTTAAAGCCAGCAGTATTGACATTTTGGGCTGGATAGTTCTTTTTTTCGATTTATTTTTTATTTATATACATTCACGTGGGTACAAGTGAATTTTTTTTACATTGATATAATGCATTGTGGTGAAGTCAGGGCCTTCAGTGCATATGTTAGTGAAGCAACACACACTGTACCCACCAGGCAACCTCCCATCATCCACCCGCCTCCGCCTGTCCACCCCTCTGAGTCTCCATCGTTCCACACTCGGCTCCCACGTGTACACAGTATTTAGCTCCTGCTTATGAGGCCGTGCGGTATCTGTCTCTCTGTGTCTGACTTGCTTCACTTAAGATAATGGCCTCCGGTTCCATCCATGTTGCTACAAAAGACATGATTCATTCCTTTTTTTTATAGCTCGACAGTGTTCCGTTGTGTATATACACCACATTTTCCTTATTCGGTCCTCCATTGCTGGACAGTGAGGTTGATTCCATCCATGTCTTTGCTATCGTGAATAGTCCTGTGATACACATAACGAGTGCGGGTATTTTTTTTGTGTATCGATTTCTTTTCCTTTGGATAGAAGGGCTGGAGAATTCTTTGTGGTCAGGGCTCTCCTGTGCACTGTAGGGTATTTAGCGGCACCCCCTGGCCACTGGATGCTAGTAGCATTCTCGTCCTCCAGTTGTTAACAACCAAAAATGTCTCCAGATGTTGCCACGTATTCCCTGAGGGGTGACCTCTGATGGAGAACTACTGTCCTGGGAAGTTGTCCTCGTTTATATAAGAGAAACTTGCAGGAAGGACTTCATTGTCCTTTTGGTTTCCAGTTCTAAATACCCATCAATCTGTCTGCCAAGCAGCCATACAGAAAGAATGGGGATGCTTCCTGAGAAATGATTTCTAGGGTTTTAATACTGGTTCTATCCCGTAGAATTGTTTTTCTAGTAGAAGTCATCATATTCTAAACACAATGTATTAACACCTATCATAAGAGTATAGCTCAATTAATTTTCACAAATACATCTATGTAACCAGCACACAGATCTAAAAAAAGAATCAAGCATTACAGCATCCCAGAAGCCCTCCAGTTACCTCGCGGCTTTATCTTTTATTACATCCCCAAATTTGTCCAGCTGGAGTGTGCTGTCTGCCACCTGACTGCTCCACGTCTTCTCCATAAGCCTGGGTCTCCCTGCGCCATTGCTCTGAGCTGCAGTGACAGGTGTGCTCCTGCCTGGGGCTGTCTCCTCACAGGTCGTGTACCAGCCGCACGAGGCAGAGCCCACTACATCCAAGTCAGAGAAGCTGGACCCTCGGCCTTTCCTGAGGGTGTTGGAGGCCATTGACAATAAGTACCCCCCTGAGGAGCGGGGTGACCTTCTCGTCTTCCTCAGCGGCATGGCGGAGATCAGTGCCGTGCTCGAGGCCGCCCAGACCTACGCCAGCCACACCCGGCGCTGGGTGGTGCTCCCGCTGCACAGTGCCCTCTCTGTGGCTGACCAGGACAAGGTATCGCGTGAAGCTGGGCAGCGTGGGGCAGGCAAGGGTCTGTGTAGACCAGAGAGAGGAGGGGGTCAGGGCGGTTCCGTGTTTGACTGATGTGACCCCACAAACGCTGGTCAGTGGCGCTGCAACTTATGCAAAGTCACATAGCCACCAAGTGGCCCGGCCAGGCTATGAACCCGGGCCGTCTGGCCCCAGAGCCAACGCTCCTAACCAGAGGTTGGCAAACTTCCTGTAGAGGGTCAAAGAGTAAATACTGTCAGCTTCGTGGGCCACAGCTCTCTGTCGCTGCTGCTCTGCCCTGCTGTTGTGTCACGAAAGCAGCCATACACTGAGCGGGCCAGGGTGTGTTCCAATGAAACTTTGTCTACAAAAACAGGTGGCAGGCTGGATCGGCCCACAAGCTGTAGTTGTTGACGCTTGGCCCTAACCACTGCGCTTGACTGTCTCTGAGAGCCAAGAGAAGGCCGTATGCAAAGGGCCCGCAGTGAGAGAAAGATGGGGTCACTGGGAAACAGCACGCAGGGTGGCGGCGCCCAGCTTGTGAGGGGGCAGTCAGAAGACATGGGACTGGAGAGGTAGGCGGGGCTGGACCACAAGGGGCCTTGAAGACCCAGCGTGGTGCCTGCCGTGGGGAGCCTCTGAGCAAGGTCCAGGGCAAGGCCAGCTGCGCGCTAGCAGATCCCTCTGGCTGCCGCGTGGCGGGTAGGTTGGAGGGTGTGAGACTAGAGGCCGGGAATGAGAGGGGAGCTAGAGCAGGATCAGAGGGGGAAGGAGGGGCCTGGACCAGGGCAGGGCTCAGGAGTGTGGGAGGTGGGAAGGAATTCGAGAAATTCCAGAATGCTCAGGTGTGGCTGTGGGGCTGAGCGGGTGGAGGGCCCAGGACAGCCCAGGTGACGGGCTGGAGGGTGAGCCATCTTCAGGATGAGACCTCTGGACAAGGGAGAGGCTCAGGGGAGGCTGCCAAGGCTGTTTTAGGCACGAGTGTGAGGTACCCATGGGACATCCAGGAAGCCACTAGACACACAGGTCAATCAGGGCTGAGTTTAGTCCCTGATGCCACCTCCTCCCTTCCCCAGGTATTTGATGTGGCCCCCCCTGGAGTTAGGAAATGCATCCTTTCCACCAACATCGCTGAAACGTCGGTCACCATTGATGGGATCCGCTTCGTAGTAGATTCCGGTAAGGGGCCTGCAGCCCCGCCCCCCACCCCAAGGACTGCCAGGAAGTACGGGGTTTCGAGATGTGCACATACAGTGCGGAGCTCCAGGTGGAAGCGGGAAGTACAGGGTGAATGGCCCATATCCAAGATGCCTAGGGCCAGAAGGGTTTCAGCTTGTGGAATATTTGTATTATACTTTCCAGTTGAGCATCTCAAATCTGAAAGCCTGAAATCTGAAATGCTCCAACAGACATTTCATTTGAGCGTCATGTCAGCACTCCAAAATTTTCTAATTTTGGAGCGTTTCAGATTTCTGATTTTCAGAATTGGTATGCTCAGCCTGTAGGTGGCGTTGGGGGCTGTGGAGCAGTGGCCACAACCTAACTTTTCTCAGACATCCCAAGCTAGTTTGTGCCCCAGGGCCTTTGCACTTACTGTTCTCTCTGCTGAGAGCTTTCTTTCTCCAGATATCCACATGGCTCACTCCCTCACCTTGTTTCATGGCCCGTGTAAATGTCTCCCCATCAGAGAGGCCCATCCTGTGCATTCTAAGTGGTATCCCCTTCTCCTTCCACTTCACTTCCCACGTGAGTGGGACTAGTATTTTATATTTGTTGCTATATTTGTTTTATTTTCTATCTTCCCAATTAGAATGTTCTCTAGAAATTCAGCATAGCATAGTGGTTAGGAGACACTGGAGCCCGCCTGGCCAGGTTCAGTGCTGGCTGTGTCATCAGGGTCACGTTACTGACATTGCATGTGTCAGTTTGCTCATCTGTAAAATAGCAGTAATAACAGCACGTCCCTCAGGCTGTGAAGATTCAATGCGTGAGTACGCTTGGGTGCTTAAGACAGTGCCTGGCACACAGTAGAATACTCAATAAATGTTAGCATTTACCTTATTATATCGACTCTGGGATGCCATTATGGCAGAACATTCCATAATTTCATGTACCATTAAGAAAGTTTAAAAATATTGCCCAACATTGACATCTTGTTGATTTTAAGGTGTGTCCCGTTTTGAGAAACAAGAAAATGTGGAAAAGTTTGGTCTTGCGATGAATGAGAGACGGTGCTCTGTTCAGTCCTGTGAGACCAGGGCCTTTGTTTCATCCGTGGCTGTATCCCTCGTGCCTAGTACAGTGCCTGGCACATAGTAGGTGCTTCATAAGTTATTTGTTGAATGGCCAAACCTCTGAAGAAGCAAAGACTTGAGAAAATACATGAAAATATGTGTGAATGAGGAAAGGAAAGATAAATAAACAAAATGTCAGGGTTGGGCCCAGAATAAGCTCAGCGTTAGGAGCGTAGAGGAGTAGTGAGAGCGTCGGTGCGCAGTGGGGCGGGTAGATGGACGCCGCAGGTGACTGCTGGGCACAGACTCCTCCCCTCACTGTGTCCTCTGCCCCGCCCAGGGAAGGTGAAGGAGATGAGCTACGACCCGCAGGCCAAGCTTCAGCGGCTGCAGGAGTTCTGGATCAGCCAGGCCAGCGCCGAGCAGCGGAAGGGCCGGGCAGGCCGCACGGGCCCCGGGGTCTGCTTCCGCCTCTACGCGGAATCGGACTATGATGCCTTCGCCCCCTACCCTGTCCCGGAAATTCGACGGGTGGCCCTGGACGCCTTGGTGCTGCAGGTGAGGCAGGGGCAGGGAGGGTCCAGACAGGACCGGTCCCAGGGTTCTAGGGCCAGGAAGGGCAAGGCGGGGCACGCCGCTGAGCGGAACTCATGCCTCCCACATGTCAAAACCCATGTTGAGGGGAGAGTCGTTCCTCAAATCCTCAGGGCCAAAGCAAGAACCCATGACTCAATCAGAATGCTTCCGACTGCAACAGGAAACCAACAGGAAGTGACTTTTAAAAGCGATGTTTCTCAATGTATTTTATGTCATGATGTGTCATTGCATTAGCTAGTTCAGCCTAGGTGGACTCAATCACTAAAATGACTAACACAGCGGAGTTTTAGTTTTGAGGTCGGCAGGCTGTTTTCTTTGTTCCTGGACCTCAGCCCCTCCCCTCCTGTGGCTCCGGCACCTCCCTGGGGCCTTTTGTACGTGTGTCCTCAGCCGGCTGAAGGGGACAGAGGGTAGGCGACGAGCAAAGGAGGGTTTGGAGGCCAGGCCTGCACGCAGCGCCCTTTGCTATCCACTCGCCTTCTCCTGATTGGAGAGAGACAGTGTCTGCCACGGGCCCACATGTAGGGGTAGCACAAAGCAGCCCCTTCCTGTAGGTGGTGCACACTGTTTTCTATCGTGTTTGATTTCATCTTTTGCAAAAAATGCTGATCATGACCTACTGCTTGGATTCTCTGACCCACTAGTGACTCACAGCCTGCCATTTAAAGGAGTACCGGCTTGAACTATACAGAAAATCTGCTGTCTCACATCATAAGACGCCCTGAGTCAGGGAGGTTCCAGACTTGTCACTGAAGTGGATCAGTGGTGTCACATAAGGCCCAGGTTCTTTCCATCTCTCCAACCTCAGTCCGTCAGCAGCTCTCTCGATGATGATGATGATGATGATGATGATGATGATAAACAGTTAATCTAGTGCTTACTCTGGGCCAAGTCCTGGTCTAAGTGTTTTATGTTTATAATTGTTTTGGTCCTCATAAAAGCTCTGTGGGATAGGACATCTTGTCATCCTCCTTTAGGGATGAGGAAAAGGATGCACAGAGAAGTAAAGTGAATTGCCCGAGGTCACGCAGTTGGCGAGTGGCAGAGTCAGGATTCCATCTCAGGCCAGCGGGCTCCAGAGCCTGCCTCCTGAATGCCACCTGGCTCTGGCATCTGTGGACGTATCATCACCTCCCTATTTACCATCCAGAGGCAGAAGCAAGGAACTGACCTTCGTGGGTCTAATTTTTACAGCCATGGGACCCTTTCCCAGAAGCCCCCTGGCCAATCTCCCATCCCGTCTTGTCAGCAGAACTGGGTTGTGTGTGTCCGCCCTGTGGCCGGTAGTTGTCCGGGGCTGTGGTATTGCCTGACCGGATCAGAGCAGTGATGCTCAGCTGCATGTTGGAATCCCCTGGAGATCTTAAGAAATAATCCATGCCCTGCCCCCACCCCAGAGCTTCTAACTTCAAACTTAAAGGTTTTTTAGTGAGTATTGGGTGATCTCCCAGAAAACATCAAGGCTTGGTTAGCAGGAGGAAGATGGGGATGGCTGGTTGCTGGGTGGGTGGCCAGAACTTCTAGTGCCCTTGGATCAGGGCCAGGGGAGCAGGCTATCTGAGCTTCCTCCTCATTGTCGCGCAGTCACATGAGCTGCCACGCCAGCCTTTTCTTCTAGTCACCAGAGAGGTGATGTTTGCTTATGAACGTCACGTTAGGCCCGGTGATGGGTGTGTACCATCACTTCTTTTTCCTCACTACCAGCTGTCTACGTGGGCCTCTGAATTAATTGGGATTCTTTTAATTGCAAGTGAAAGAAAAATGACTCAAACAATTATAGACAGAAAAGGGGGCTTTTATCAGTTTGTATGTAGATGTGGTGGGTGCATGTCTAGCTTAGGAGCAATCCAAGGATTTCGCCATCTACAGATGGGCTAATTTCCAGGCAATGGAAAAAGTAACTGTAGCGGTTCTGGGCGTCTATCTTGGCCACTTACAACTGGAGAGGATGCTGGGACTGCTCTCTCCCAGCTTCAGTTTGCAAAGTCCCAGGGAAGGCTTCTGATTGGCCCAGCTCAGATCATGTGTTCATTCTACGGTCAGTTGCTATGACCAGGGACTGAGGAACCATGATTGGTCCAGCTCAGGTCATGTGCTCCTCCTCCACGGTCAGGGTCTGGGGGAAGATGTGCTGGGCAGACAGAGATAGGCAATGCCTCCCATCCCCCACCTCTGTACAATGGATCTTGACATTGGGAGTTTTAAAATATCATAGTTTGTGATCCCTGATCCCGGAGGTATGGTTCTCATTTCAGATGAAGAGCATGAGCGTGGGGGACCCCCGAACCTTCCCTTTCATTGAGCCCCCGCCACCAGCCAGCCTGGAAACTGCCATCTTCTACCTCCAGGACCAGGGGGCCCTGGACAGCTCAGAGGCCCTCACTCCCATCGGGTCCCTGCTGGCCCAGCTGCCTGTGGACGTCGTGATTGGTGAGGACCCCCCTCTGCGTGATCGTACGGGGCACCCAGAGCAGGTACAGGGCACTGCTCACTCTCTGAGCGACCCGAAGGCAAGTCTGTTCCTTGCCAGGGCCCATTTGCTCATTCCTGAGCGCTCTGTGCCAGGCACTGTTCTACGTGCTGGGGATGTAGTAGGGGACAAAACAGACACAGGTCTCTGCCCTCAGGGAGGCGACATTCTGGTGAAGGAGACCGGCAATAAATCAGGAAAATAAGTAAAACACATAGTAGATCAGGTGGTCCTAAGTGTTACGGAGAAGAGAAAGCAAGAGGGGGGAGTGGGAAGTGCCGGGCCTGGCTGGGGCATTGCCGTTGAGAATGCAGGCCTCACTGGGAAGGCAACATTTGTGCAAAGAAGTGGAGGCGAGGGCCGGGAGCCGTGCAAATACTTGCGCGTGCTTGCCAGTACAAATACAGGAATGTAATGTGAGCCCCATAATTTAAGACTGTCCAGTAACCAAATTAAAAAACCGAAAAGAAACAGGTGAAATGAATTTTGATAATTTAATATATCCAGAACACAATTTCAACATGTAATCAATATAAAAATTTTTGTGGTATTTGTATTATTTTTTTATACTAAGTCTTGCAAATCCAGCGTGTATTTTATACTCCCAGCATGTATCACTTTGGACCAGCCACATTTCAACTGCTCAGTAGCGACATGTGGCCAGTGGCTGCCGTATTGGACGGTGGGGGTGTAGCAGAAGCGCATTCTAGGCAGAGGAGACAGCCAGTGCAAAGGCCCTGTGGTGGGAACAGCGCGGAGGCTGGTGTGGCTGGAGTGGAGTGAGGGAGAGGGAGAGGGCAGGAGATGTTAACCGGTGGTCCCATCGTTCATTCATTCATTGAATAGTTTTTGAGCACCTGCTCTGTGCCAGGTCCTATTCTAGATGCCGGAGAATAATTGTGAAGAAAACAAAACTCGTGTGCTCACAGAGCCCACGTGTAACGAGGGAGACAGACGTCGAGCAGGACAGATGAGCGAGCCGTGCGGGCTGTCAGCGGGTGCCCCGTGCTGAGCAGAGGCAAAGCGGGAGCAGGGTGGGAGTAGTGGGGACTGGGGGCCGTGTTGCCTGGCCGCGAGTAGCGGCCTCGCTGAGACGGCGACATCTGGGCAGAGGCCTGAAGGAGGGCAGAGGCCACCTGGTCCCTCTGGCCCTGGGTCGGGAGGAGCTTCGAACTGGATGGGAGACTGAAGTGTTTCAGTGGAACTGCATTTTACGTGACTGAAGGTGGCCAGAGAATTAAGGGGCATCTGCCGGTTCGGTAAGGGTCTGCGAAGGCCAGGCCCGCGCAGCCCGACAGGGACAGCTGTCGGTTCCCAGCCCTCCCGAGTTCAGACCTGCAGTGGCCAGTCACGGACAGATGCGGTGCAGCCCGTCTTCGCCGTGCGTGTCTTCAGGAATGGGGGTTAATCAGGAGGGATTTGGGGGCCAGGAGCCCCTCTGACCCCGTCCTCACCACTGACCTGTGACATGTTAGTGTCTTAAGGCAGCAGTCCCCAACCTTTTTGGCACCAGGGACTGGTTTCGTGGAAGAGAGTTTTTCCAGGGAGCGGGGTGTGGGGTAGGGTGTCGTGGGGGCGGTGCGGAGCTCGGGCAGGGATGCCCAGACCTGTACCTGGGCGAGGCCTGGGGGTTGGGGACCGCAGTCTTAAGGCACTTACCTGAACTGCAGAAGCCACCGCTGGGGCTGGGTGTGGCCTGCAGGGTCCGCCCTGCAAGAGAACATGAGGGAAAGCACCGATGATTGTGCACGAGCAGCCGCAAGACAAGCTCTCCCACTGGGATTCCCCAGCACCTGCGGTACTGAGGGGCCTGCCTTGGGAAGGAGAAGCAGGCGGGGTACCCAAGACCCCGCAAGCGCAGGAGTCCTGGGTTTTCCACAGCTCACCCTTCCCACCTCTCTCTGCACAGCCTGCCCCCAGCTCCGCCCTGGCGCCCCTCTCTTGCGGGCTTGAGGATGTCAAAACTCTTCCTCTTGCTCGTTTCTGAGTCATCCTTGCCCCTCCTGAGGAGCTGGCCGGCTGAGGCGTGTTCGTCTTGCCCATTCTCCTGACTCCACAAATTCTGTCTCCTCCAGCAGCCCGTGGCCCGCACGGCCTGCCCACCCCAGCAGGACCACCGTGCACAGCAGAGCCTCCCGTCTGTGTTCACACCTTTACAGTCCCCTTGTTGCCACACTGTGGTGCTTCAGCGTGGGCAGGAGGCTGGACGCGCTGGGCTCTGGGGGCCTCTGGGCTGGGAAGATGGTTCGTTTGTGTTTGTTTTGTTAATCGAAGGAAAGAGGGCTAGAGCAAGGAGAATCAGAGCTGGGAAGTGAAAGAACCTTCAGTGACACTTGCCGTGTGCCAGCGAGAGGCTCTGTGGGCTCTGTGTCATCTCGTCCTCACCTGCTGAGGGAGGGCCGCTGCCCCCCACCCCCATGTGCAGATGAGGAAAGCGAAGCCGGGCCAGGGAGGGGACCACGCCTGCGGGCATGGGCAAGCCAGTGATGGATGCTGAGTCCCCAAGGGGTGGGAGTGAGCCCCTGTCACTTTCCTCGCTCGGAAAGCAAGGCGCAGAGAACAGCTGTTCAGGGTCACCGAGCGACAGGGTGGGGGCGAGGGGCACAGGCGACCCATGCTGGAGTGTCCTCTGTGCCAGGGGCGTTCCGAGCGCATCGCAGGGTGAGACACGGTTAATCCTCACAGCAGCGCGGAGGGGAGGGGCAGGTGCTGCAGTTACCCCATTTCACAGACGGGGAGCAGAGGCGCAGCGAGGCGGAGGGACGCCGCAGGCCGGTGGGTCTGGCCCCGGGCTCGGCTTTACTGCCCACCCTTACCTTACCAGGCCAGCTGTGTGACAGGCACTTCGTGTAAAGTCAGTCAAGGGGAACGGTGAGGTCAGACACGTGACTTGCAGGCCACTGGCCACGGGGCAGGTGGGCAGGCCTGAGCCTCCCAGGCAGGGCAGCGTGTGCTCCGGCTCCCGGAGCCAGGGGGGCTGGAGATTCCCACTGTTGCGGGCTTACAGGTGGAGACGGTTTTCTACCGGCCCTTTGTCCACGTTGCGATACTGTTCCTGCCACTTTCCTTCTCCACGTCCTCCCCTGTCCTCCCTCTGCCCCGCCTCCCTTTCCCTGCCTCTCCCGCCACCCCCACCTCTGCCTGTCTCCTTCCCCCCATACCCCCCCTCCTCCCTCCCTCCTCCTCCACCCTGGAATTAAACAAGGATGGCAGAAGATTCGTCCTGTCATGGGCACAAAGGCAGCACCTACTGTGTGCCCCAGCAGACCCAGTCACAGCTCGAGTGCGGGTCACACTCTAGAGGGGGCGGAGACATACACCACGGCACGCTGGGTTGTAAACGGAAGAGCAGGGAAGTTGGGGACAGTAGTAGCCAGCACTTAAAACAGTGCCATCTGCGTGCCTGATGGGAAACTGAGGACCTTACCGGAGGTCGTGTGACCAGAAAGCACAGTGCGTGCGGGTTTCAATCTGCCCATCTGGGTCCTGAGACCCTTAGTGGGTGAGAGGGAGGGAGGTGGGGACAGGACTGGGGAGTGGGGGGATGGGTCAGGGCCCCCACCCCCCGAGAGCCCCAGGGGTGAGGGGTGTGGCTGTCCTGGTGCCTAGGGGGCTCAGCCTGTGCCCGCCGCCCCAGGGAAGATGCTGATCCTGGGGTCCATGTTCAACCTGGAGGAGCCCGTGCTCACCATCGCGGCCGCCCTCAGCGTCCAGTCGCCCTTCACCCGCAGCGCCCAGAGCAGCCCGGAGTGTGCGGCAGCACGGCGGCCCCTGGAGAGCGACCAGGGTGACCCCTTCACGCTCTTCAATGTCTTCAATACCTGGGTGCAGGTGAGGCTGGCGCCGGGGCCCTCCCGCCTGTCTGTTCCTCCGCGCAGGGTTGGGCCTCCTGCGGCTGTGGCTGCTCCTTGCACCCCACCCCTACCCCGCCCCAGGAGGCCTGCCTGGGGAGGACCTGGTCTCCACCATTCATGCCCCTGGGCTGAGGGGACAGCACGTGCCCAGGCCCAGGGTTGAGAGGGGGGCCCGGGGCCTAGGGCGGTGATTAGAACCAGTGCCAGCTGGAGGAAGTGCAGGCTCCTTAGGCTGGCATAGTGTATCCAGTGAACGTTCCCTGAGGCCCTGCTGTGGGCCTGTCCCTGTACTGGGCAATACTGGGGACCCATTGGCGACTAAAACTACCCTGGCCCTGTGCTCCTGGGGCTCACAACCCAGTGCAAAGAGATGGACCACTGATGTGACAGTGGCAACCCAGAGAGGGCTGCAGTGGGGAGTCCAAGGGGCTGGGAGAGCCCAGAGGGGCTGCCTGACCCAGTGTAGGTGTCTGGGAGGGCTCCTTGTGCGGGGGGCATTGGGCTGAGCCCTGGAGAAGGTGAGGGCCTCCACCTCCTTGCATCCTCCCCAGGGTGGTGTTTGAGCCCGTGCTGGGTGGTCAGCCCCTACCACCGCCACCCCCGGAGCTGACCAGGCCCTGACACCCTGGTGCCTGCACCTCCGCCCAGGTAAAATCTGAACGGAGCAGAAACTCACGCAAGTGGTGCCGCCGCCGGGGCATAGAGGAGCATCGGCTTTATGAGATGGCCAACCTGCGGCGTCAGTTCAAGGTGAGGTTCTGGTGGAGGGGTGGGGGCCAGGCCTGCCCAGACAGACATCTTGTCAGCACCCTCCAGAGCACCCCCTCTCTCCTTCCCGACAGCGATCAGACCAGAGTCCCACCCTGCATCCACCCCTCCCCAGCAGAAGACCAGGCGGCGGGGCAGCCTGGGCGGTGGGGCGTAGAAATCCAGGAGGGCTTCCTGGATGGGACGGACAGGGCCAGCAGGGACATGCCACATCCTGATGAAGAGTCTGGTCCTCTGGACCGGGGGTGCTGAGCTGGCGGTGCACGCTCAGTGCTGGCAGGCAGCCTAGGGTGGTGGTGGTCTGGGCTGGCACACCGGAGCTGGATGTCCCAGTGGCAGATCCTGGCTCCGCCGTGTGCTAACAGTGTGACCCTGGGCATATTACTGCTCGCCTCTGGGCCTCAGCTTCCCCTCGGACAACAGAGAAGGTGACAATGGCACCTGCCTCACCAGGAGGCTGTGAGGGTCAAACGTGTTAACGTGCGAGTAGCACATTTAGAACGGGGCCGACCGAGCACGTAGGTGGTTCTATACAAGTGCTTGCAGTGATTTTGCTATTACTATATAGGCGAGTGGGTGGAGAGAGAAAATTTTCTTTTAAATCTAAAAGATTCGGATTCCTCCTATACCCAACAGTTCTGCAGCTTGTTTCATTAATACTCCATGGATATGTCTCCATTTGGGTACAAAAAACCTGCGGTTACGTACTTCTCAGCGGTCGTGTAGTATTCACGGAACGAAAATAGAATAAAAGTCCCCGTGTAATCCATTCCCTTTGTTGCAGATGGACAAATTGAGGCCCAGAGTGGGCGACCAGTCACCCAGCCGAGGCCTCCCGTGCAATTTCTGAGGTCCCTGTGTTGGGGACCGCTGATGTCCCACTGCTCTCAGTGTCCCTCTTGACTGCCGTCTCCAGCAGCTAGAGCAGTGTTCAGCCTCTGTTGGTCCCCAGACACTTTGGAACCTAATGGAAAGTGGGTCCCTTTCGCAGGCACACTAGCTACGCGCGTGCACACAGTCTGCGTCCTCCACGGCTCAGGGCTGCAGGAAACAGGGTGCGATCAAGTCGGGTCATTGGGGATTGCTTACAACGGTGTGGGCAGGGTGGAGGGCAGAGGTCTCCAGTGTAAGGTCTATTCGAGTTGCCCGGAGGGTCTGTTGGCTCAAGACTCCCGGCCCCAGCTGTGAGATTCTGACTCAGTGGGTGTGGTTTGGGCCTGGGTCTTGGAATTTCTACCAAGTCCCCAGATGTCCCAGATATTGCTGCTGCCGGGCCACACTCAGCAGTGCTAGTGTAGGAGACCCACAGGGCTGTGCGGCACCCGGGACCGGGGAAGAGGGGCCTCCCCCAGGCCGGTGGGGCAGGAACCGAAGCCTGAGCCCACTCACTCTGCCCTGTGTCCCTCACTCTCGCCTGCTCTCCCCCAGGACCTATTGGAGGACCACGGGCTGCTGGCCAGGGCCCAGGCCACGAAGGCGGAGGACAGCTACAGTCGGCTGCAGCAGCGCCGCGAGCGCCGGGCCCTGTACCGGCTGAAGCGCCAGCACGAGGAGGGCGGGGGCCGCAGGCGCAAGGTGCTGCGGCTGCAGGAGGAGCAGGCGGGCTGCTCCAGCGACGAGGACCGGGCCGGCCCAGCCTCCCAGGGCTCTGCTGACAGCGTGGACATCCAGGTGGGGCGCCAGGGCTGTCCGGGCTGGGCTGGGTGGGTGGAGTTGACCAGGGTAGGGTCTTTGAGGACACAGGCCTGCCCTGGGGTCTGAGGGGACACAGCCTGCCCTCGCTCCAGGAGTCAGGTTTCTGGGGACAGGATCAGGCCCCGTGGTTTACAGAACCCCTCGGGTACATGCCCCATAGGTAGCGGGGAGGGTCCCTCAGGAACCTGCCTGCCCCGTGTTCCCACCAGGATGTGAAGTTCAAGCTCCGGCACGACCTGGAGCAGCTGCAGGCGGCGGCCAGCTCGGCCCAGGACCTGACGTGCGATCAGCTGGCCCTGCTCAAGCTGGTGCTGGCCCGGGGCCTTTACCCGCAGCTGGCCATCCCGGATGTGTTCAACAGCGGCCGCAAAGACTCCGACCAGGTGGGCCTGCTGCGCCCTCCTGTTGCCATGTTTGTTTTGTCAACACACATTGCCCGAGTGCCTGCCCTGTGCTGGGGACACAGTGGTGACCAAACCTACCCTGGCTTTGCCCTCATGGGGCTCACGGTCCAGTAGGGAAGACAGACCTGACCCCAAACCGAGAACCAGAGTGGACAGGGCTGGGATGGGGCAGCCCAGGAGTCTGGGGGAGCCCAGAGGGGGGCAACTGACCCAGCCTGGGAGGAGGTCAGGGAGGGCTTCTTGGAGGAGGGGACTTTGCGTTGAGGCATGGAGGAGGGAACCTGGCTGGGAGGGCGGAGAAAGAGCAGGTCAGAGGCTTCTGCTCCACCCTGGGCCTCTCCAGATCTTCCACACCCGGGCCAAGCAGGGCACTGTGCTGCACCCCACCTGCGTCTTCGCCAGCAGCCCCGAGGTGCTGCACACACGGGAGCAGGAGGCCGGGGGCTGCGAAGGGAGCCGAGGTATGGGGAGCCCACGCGGGAGGGAGCCCCCATCTGGGATGTGAAGGGTGGGGACCTCAGGGGCCCCTTAGTGGCTGGGGTTCCGCCTTGCTCCTTCCCACACCCCACCCATGCTGGCGCAAGAGGGGGGGTGCCAAGGCCAGACCTCCCCGAGTGGCTTTGGGTGAATCACCCCCCGCTGAGCCGCTCCCTCCCCCGGTGCTGGTGGCTGACTGAGCCAGTGTGGCTGTGCCAGGCCCCACAGGGTACGGGCCTGTGTGCGGGGCAGGGACTGGACTCGTGCGACCTCAGGTGTCTGCCTGAGCTCGGCCGGACGACGCCCCTTCCTCCTGTGTGTAGAGGAGACAGGCTGCTCTATTAAAGTGCTAAGTATTAGCCTGAAGCGTAAGGTCTGTCCTCTCGGATATTTAAGACAGAATTCGAAACTTTTCTCCCTAATCTTTAACAGCTGCAAATTCCTAGTCCGTTTACCCTCTTCCTTTTCCTTTCTCTCCTTTTTTAAATTTTGAAATATCTAAACATCATCCCAGTGAGAGTGATGAGCCCTGGGGCCTCCCCAGCGTCAGTGACCGTCTGCATGTGCCACCCCCGTTTCTTCTCTGTCTTCTCCTTAGCACATCCCAGATACCGTGTCATTTAGTGATAAAAATGGCAAGGACCATTTTTTACATTACTAACAAAATTCACTGATTCCTTAATGTTGCCGAATAGTCCCGTTCCTATCTGTTATGGCAAAGTGTGTAAAAACAAGTTGCAGACATTCTGTTGTTGCGTGAGCACATCTTTGTACAGGTGTGTAAGCCGACAGGTGGGAGGGGCAGCGCTCGGGGCCGGTGGGTGGGGGCGAGGGCCCGGCCTGAGCTGTCCTCTTCACCCTTCCAGAGGACAAGGACAAGATGAGCAGCAAGCACCAGCTCCTCACCTTCGTCTCCCTGCTGGAGACCAACAAGCCGTACCTGGTGAACTGCGTCCGCGTCCCCGCCCTCCAGGTGGGTCTCGGGTTTGGTAGCGGCTAGGTCGCTGGGCTGGGGGCACCGGGGCGGGCCTGGAGGAGCCGCCTTCTGCCCAGGCTGGCTGCAGGCTTGAGCCGCGGACTGTTGGTGAGGCTGCTGTCTTTTCCTTCTTTCACGGATGTGTTCAACAGTTACTTGCCGAGTGCCTGCTGTGGGCCAGGCACCGTTCTGGGTGCTGAGGACGCAGCAGGGAACTGGGCAACGAGCCCCGCGGCTGCCTTCCTGGGGCTCCCTGGCTGGGAGGACAGTGGGTAGCAGTAAACGCAGTAGAGCACTGAGTGCTATGTGAGAGGGTGGGAAGAGTCAGGGGAGATCAAAAGAGTAGGGGGAGGAGGTAGAGGGAGAGGGAGAGGGAGGGGAGGGCAGCGGTGTGGTATGAGATGAGGTGGGGTGGGCCTCACTGAGCAGAGACTGGAAGGCAGGGAGCCATATGGACCCCAGGGGAAGAGCTTCTTAGGCAGGGGGCGGGCACGTGCAAAGGCCCTGAGGCAGACGTGCCTGGCGTGTGCAGTGCAGAGTCGGCAGGGGGCCAGCGTGGTGGAGATGAGGTCGGAGAGGCAAGCGAGGCGCCAGCTCCAGGAGGGCTCTGACAGGGCTGGGACTGGTTTGACATGGACGGAAGCGCAGAGCCCAGCCCGGAGGCAACTGCAGCTATCAGGCGGGAGGGATAGAGCTGGCTTCGGGTGGGGGCCAAGGATGCTTAAATTGCAGATACTTTTGCACGTGTGCCTGCGGCCAGAGAGTGGCTGCCATACCTCGAGTGCTCCCTGTGTGTCATCCTGTGGTCCCAGGCCTGGCCTCTGAGCCCTCACACAGCCTGCGATTCTCACTTTATAGAAGAGAAGACTCAGGCTCAGACGGGGGCGGGGGCCTGTCACCTGCCTCAGTCACACAGCGAGCAGATAGGGCTGAGCCAGAGCTTCAGGGTCCCACACCTCACCCTGTGCCGCCCCATCGGTTGGGTGTCCCCATGACCAGCACCCTCTCACGTCAGTCCCAGGGAACGTGGAGGAAAGAGAGAAACCCGCGGGCTCCCAGAGCCTCCGGACGTTTTGTCGACACCAGCCCCGACGCCACGAAAACTCGCCCTGCTCCCTTCATTGCTGCAGTGGTTGCTACGTTCCTCGAGCGCCTGTCTTGCGCCAGGCACTATTGCGTCCGGGTGCGGGGGACGCAGCCGCGGTCCAAGTCGACCAAACTCCCCGTGCACGTGGGGCTCGCGGACTCCGCGGGAGGCAGACAGCGCGGGCGACCGCACAGGAGTGAAAGGCGGCGCGGGGTGCTCGGAGGAAAGCGGGCGGGGCGGTGGCGGGGACAGCTGCCAGCCCAGGTGCTGCCCGGCGCCGCCGTCTCCTCCCCTTTATGGCTTGTCTGTGATGGAGAATCTTTTTTTGAACTTCCTATTGATACGTGACAGACGTGTAAACTTTCAGGGTGCGTGCGATTTTTTTTTAAACAACACTAAGTTGGTACCAACGCATGTGATACTTCAATCCATTCGTAAGTGTAAAGATCATGTCGGGGTAACCAGGATGTCTGTCACCTTGTATGGTCACCTTTCCTTCGGAGACTCACACACTAAGCAGGTTCAATAGTACACTGAGCCCTCCCGTACCATCCCCCAGCCCCCAAAATATCGACCTGGCACCAATCCCATCCTTCCTCTGTCCCCCCTACCCAGAGAACTTCCCCACATACTGTCATGAAACACGTCGGTAATCACAGCCCTGACCCTGTCCCGGGCCAGTGTGCGCTCGGGTCTGGTTCTTCTCCTCCAGGCTATGTCTGTGAGTGGCGGTTGTCCCTCGGCCACCCTGTTTTAAAATGCCGCCCCTCCCTTTCCCAGCACCCCACAAAATCTGCCCCCACTACTCCTGTCCCCCGCCCCCAGCTTTGCGGCTTCTTAAAACACAATGTGTTCTACTCTTTTTTTTTTTT